GCAGAGTAAATGGAGATAAACCGTCTGGTGCTGGATCTAGTGGAAGTACTCAGTCGCTAAACCCGCCAAATCGGAAAGCACGACAACGCCCACCACAACGGACAGGATGTCTTCACTGTAAGGGGGAACATTGGTTGCGTGGTTGCCCGGTGGCGACACCAGAACAAAAAAAAAGTTGCTCGAAAGGCACATATGTCTAAGAGTTGGAAGGTGAAGCGATCTGCAGTTCGTAATTCGTTGGTGACAGCTAATGATTAAGATGGGTGCGCCAAGAGGTCAGCCAACGAACCTGACGATGAGGAGTATACTGTCCTTATCAATGGCGTGGTGGAGATTTCAATGTGTCCAGATACGGGTTAAGAGGAGTTTTTACTAGGGGGGGGGGCAGTGATGAAACGCTTGGGTATTGATGTCAAGCGGGCATTTGAACAGTTAGCGAACACTCACATCGAACTGAACCAAGACGACCTACCTGAAGCGCCAGTAGTCGGTGACGTGGCGGACGACGAGATCGCACGGGAGCTGGAACGCATGTGCGAAGAGGTGAAAGTGGTGCTGAGTGACGACCAGTACACTGAATTCCGGGAGAAAGTGACCAAACTAAGCAAGGCGTTTCATAGACTATGGGGACTAGGATTGGTCCAGATGAACCAGCATTGGTTTAACCTTTGGTGGTGACACTGCAGACAGGGGCCGAAGCAGTACGTTGTAAACCTCGCCGATACCCGCCAGCACAATTGAAGTTCGTGGGTGAACACGTCGCGCTGTTACTGAAATTTGGGTTTGTAAAGAAAAACAACCTAAGCAAGTGGGTATCAAACGCAATACCAGTTCGGAAATCCGGATGCAAAGACGAATTTCGAGTAGCCAATAATTACACAAGGGTGAACAACAGGACGGTCCCCATAGCTGGCACGATGTCTCACTTTTCGGGTGCGGCTTACTTGCTATACAAAAAAGGATGAAAACAAACCATAGGCTAGGTGAGATGCATTCCAATACTAAGCGATTTTTTTTTTGCGATTACAAACAAAATGGGCAGTCTGTCTTCCTTGTGTTGTCAATTGGTAATGCCATGTGACTCTCTCACATTGTGAGAAGAGGTATGTCACGTCATCTGACGCAGAGGTCAATCGTGAAAGAGCTTGCCAGTGACGTTTAGGCCATCGCGATCTGCTGCGTTGATCAATGCTGCGAGCTGGCCAACTTCAAATTTCATATCTTGTCTGTTTCGAAAACGAACAGTCCACTTGAAGACGCCTCTGGGTCCTTCACAATATATCCAGTCCTCAATCTACCCGGTACGTTGCGTCTGGTTATTGCACCACCCTCGCCTGTGCACTATTGGCATAGTGATATTCCATCCTATGGGCATTGACGGCTTTTTCACTAGATCTTTCTCCAGTTTCGACACTGCATAGTAGCCCGTGTCATCTTCCTGTAGTGCGTTCCGAACCTTGCGTTATCCCCCACTCTTCTTTCGGGTAGGGAGATGGAGTACCGCTGTCTTTAAGTCATACCTTTCATCAGCGACATAGCAGCAAGAACGTGGCTACATAGCCATCCAGACGTCCAAAATCCTTTGCAGTCACATTGATACCGCGAGCGAATGGCTCGAATCTGCGGTACATTATCAGCAATGTCAGAATTCACTTTAAAAAAAAGTAAAAGTACACAATTACCTGCTTTGCAGGGATAATTGGATTCAGATCCAAGCGGAATGCAGCCGTGTAGACCGGTGGTACCACTTGTACTTCGTGTAATGATAAGTAGTACAGCTGACAGTCGGGAACTCTGGATCCCTTTCGAAATTTCCCTGACTTTGAGTCCAAATACCTAAGTAAAAAACACATTAATTAAAGTAGAACCGAGAAGTTACACTTAGCGCAGTCTTTACCGTTCAGCACGCGTGGCGTTGACTACCTGGCCTGTTGCATTGTTGTATCGCACAGCGTACTCCCAAGTATTGAAGACGAATGATTTTATCTTCTGCTCATCGTCAGGGTCTATTTTCTTGAACACATTTTTTTTCTTTTGCGAAGATGCGTGCGTGTACAACCATTTCCCCAATTACTGGCCCCTCAGCAAAGTGAGTGAAGCTCTTCATAGGTTTGTCGCAGTCGAGGTAAAGCACGGGAGGCAGTGTATCGTTGCAAACCACGGGTGTAGCAGCGTGTTTGGAGGGTACGCAGACAGTTTTAAGGGCTTGATGGTGAGATTCGATTGGGTTTTGGGAAGGCAACACCGCAGGAGCTGCCAGCGTGCAAAACCATGTCCCCCAGCGTTTGCCAAGGTACTGAGTAGTGAACCACGAAGCATATTCCTTTTCATGTTTAGCGATCCAGAATTTCGTACATTGTTTCACCAATGCGAGAAACTGCTGAGGAAAACGAGCCTCCCATCCAACCGAAGAAACATCAGGATCAGTGCACATCCGCGGACTTGTCCACTCCATCTTGACAGTGAAATTCGAAATTTCCCAAGCATTTCTACTGACTTTTTTCAGCGAAGCCTTTCGGTTTTTGAGCATAATCTCGTCCGGGATCTTCGCCTGGAATGCCATTAATGCAGCCAGAAAAATGGTTCTGCATCCGAAAATATGTCCTACAACTATGTCCTACAAAATGTCCTGCAACCTATGAATATGTCCTACAGAAAGTCCTACAATGATTTATCAAATATTCAGAAAAAGGTGAAGCAACCCAAAAATGTGCAACTCGCTTGCATATCATAACCCTGAGCCTATTTTTCTCAGGCTTCAGCTGCCTCAAGCTTCGTCCTATGAGCAGTGCGTCCCATAATTTTACCATCACAAGATAACGGATGTTGTAACAATAGCGGGGTGATAAGTTGACTTTAGCTCAAGATCGTAAAGCGATTACAAACGAGTGCGCTAATGACCGGCTATAAATGATTACAACATTTCTAACACCCCGTACACTAATTCGTATGTAATGGTGTGAGAAACAAAATCCAAGCACTTATTAATAAGTGTTTAATTTTTTTTTACCATCTTCTCCAATTCGCAGAGGTATAATCTCAAGATCAAAGGTTACGGATAATTCAAATTACGTAATGAGTTACAGCATTATGTAAGCTGCCAGGGAAGCTTCTTAGAAATTTGTTTTAATGCCTGTACTTGAAAAACGTTTGCTCAAGTTAATTACGTAGTCATTCTATAATATTCCGACAACCAAGACAAGCCTCCTCTGCTTTTTCAATGTTTCACAACGGCTTCAAGTACTCGGGTAACACAAATCGCAAGGACACTAATTACTACCAATGCTCAAAGTACAGATCAACTCAGTGCAAGGGCAAGCTCATCGTCGCCAGCGGACATGCAAAAGTGACGGCTTCGCATACATGTCAAATTTCTGCAATACCCAGCGTTATCGACAGTACGGAAGAAATGAAGGGTCTCATCGAAACAGAAGCGCTACTGGCGAAGACGACGCTCCCAAGTCGGCTTTGGGAAAGACTCTCTCTTCAGATGACGAAAATGCATCCGGATCGAGCCGTGACAGTCATGCCACGTGACGAAGCTATTAATTTTATTGGCTACGTTCGCAGACAGGCCAACGGTGGGGATGTGTTCCGACAAATTGAAACGTCACCCTACGTTAACGTTTCGGATTTGGATGATCGACTCTTTCTCCAATTCAACACGTTTTACAACAATAACGGCAAAGCTCAGCGAATCGTCGGTTTGGGTCATCCTGACCTCATACGTCTTCTCAAGATTCGAGGCGTCTCGCTATTCATTGACGCAACTTATAGCATCACACCAGCCCCGTTCAAACAAACACTAATAGTGATGGGACACGACTCAAAGTTTGACGTGTATCTTCCGGTACTCTACATTCTCCTGGAAGGCAAGGATGAAATGACATACACAACAGTACTGCATCGTATCAAGATGTTGACTGGAATGAAATTGTCTCCTGGAAGTGTCACTTGTGACTTCGAAACAGCCCTTATCAACGTAATACGTGATCAATTTAAGGGAACACGAGTAATTGGCTGTTTATTTCACTGGAAACAAGCTATTCGTCGCAAGCTGATAGATCTTCGAATTCCAGTAGAACAAATCAACAAGGCAATGACGCGCAGTGTGATGGATTCTCTTACTGTGATACCTATTGACGAGATTCAGAAAAAGGGAATTCCCTTTGTCACGTCATTGATAACGTCACATGGCTATCGCACTGAATGGGAATCATTTTGGAGTTATTTTACTCAAATTTGGTTAAAATCGTTTGACCCCGAGCTTTGGAACGTCAATGCTTATGTCGATAGTGAGATGCACTTGTAAAATCGAACAAACAATCCGATTGAAAGTTATAATTGCGCCATCAAACGTCACATTAGAGATGCCCATCCCGAAATTCTTGTATTCGTCACCAAATTAAAACTGGAGGCTGCAAAATATTTGCAAATGTGTGATGACATATCAATGGAAAGACGTCGTGCTCCCGCTCATTCCGATAAAGTGACATTAACGATTCCAGCAGCGTATTACGACTTTATTATACCTGTTGCTAATCGAGGGAAAAGAAAGCAGAACCAAGGTAAAATGACAAGAAAAAAGAAAGTTATCTCAAAAAGAATATTTGTACGAAAAAGCCCGACTACTCAGCGTAAGTAGATTGAAATAATTTTTAATACATGGTCATTAATCGGCCCTGCATATTGTCCTCAAGTGCAGGACATTTTTTCGGATGCAGGACCGTTTTTCTGGTTGCATTAATTTCTCCCCTTTGCCTGCTTCACATTGTCCTTCTTATACTTTTTCAACAAAAAGCAGTCGAATGCGTTGGCGCCCCGCACCTCCTCTCAACATACTATCGACTTCTGGCTTCAAGGACATGTCTATCCCAGAGCGCTTGCGATGAGTGACTTCGCCCTCATGCTCTCCATGCTCCTCTACAAAAAAAAACAAGTAGTAGAAGCAACCGCTACTACAGCAGAGAAGTCTGTACGCTTGATAAATCTGATCCTTCGCTCACAGGAGGCATGCGAGATGCAGCGATACAAACTGACACGCCTCGGAGGCTTTCCGTAAGCCCGAAGATGCTTGTATTCAGATGAATCCACACAGTGAAGAGCTGTTATGGCGTCCTCTTCAGATGCATGAGTTGATATATCCTCATAGATCGGTCTAGCTTTCCCCGATACGCTTGCTATTGCCTCAAAAGCGTCGTCGCTCATCAGGACACAGGCACTCCGATATTAGTGGTGGGCCAATACAACTGTAATGTGTGAGGAGGGTCGTTTTCTGTGGTGTGTGGGAAGGGTCATTTATAAGCGTGGGTGGTTACATAGAGCAACTGCTAGTGTTTTTTTCGAATAATTATAGTAAGCTACCATCAGCCGGTTTGCTCAGATTGAGCGTCCTCATCATCTGATTGTATCACATGGTATTAGTAGTGGAAGTCATCCGGAATTTCTATGTATCCGTTTCCATCTTTTTTTTTGTAGCGAAATAAGCTTAATCCTCACTTTTCAATTATTCTAAGCTCCGCTGCTGGCATAAAATTAATCGCCAAGTTAGATATGTTCAAAGGGTTCTGGTAGGTAATGGTAGCTGAGGAATCAGAAGAGATGTTCTGCGTTATGACATACCCGCCGCTACAAGTCCCTCAAGGTGCAACAGATTCGGCGTTGCATTCTCAGAATCAAATGAAAACCGTGTACAAACCGCTACTGAAGAAGGGCTCTTATCAAGATTGATGATATTATTGTCTATGAACACACTGAGGAAAAGTTCCTAGCCAATCTCAAGTTGTCTACGAGCTTACTACCAAATATCGTCTCAAGCTGAACGCAAAGAAGAGCGTACTCATGGCGTTTGGAGTGTCTTGGTGTGGGCGGAAAATAGATGGTAATGGGATCCGACGGGGTTCTGAGAGGTTATCAGCCTTCGTCTCACTTCCCATGCCAAAAACAGCAGCAGACCTTCAGCGTTTTCTGTGTGCCTGTAATTGGATTAGGGAAAGTGTGGTCGACTATGCCAGAGTGTTTGAGCCCATGCAGGCTAAGCTTAATACGACACTGGTCAATCGCAGCAGAACAAAACGATCGACAGGTTATGTTTCTCTCGAATGGACTAGAGGTGAACGGAGTGCATATACTGGAGCTCTCCAGAGTATCGTTAATGCAGCCAAACTATATTTTCCTTGAAAATAAGACGACATTGTGTCTTTTACCCGATGCAAGCGATCTTGGATGGGCAATTATCTTAATGCTTTCACGATAAAAGGAAGCATAATGCCCCCTTTTCCTAATTTCCAACTAAGTACGGCGATGTATCCATGGTAACCCTTTCGCGAGCCACTTTAGTAAACTATAGTGTACAACTCTTGGATAGTGGGTATCAAAAGGAGGCATTATGTATCCATGTTAACCCTTTCGCGAGCCACTTTAGTAAACTATAGTGTACAACTCTTGGATAGTCGGTATGAAAAGGAGGCATTTTGCCTCCTTTAAGGCGAGTGACGGACCACCTTCAAATCTTCCAAGTGTGATTTGCTTGTTTTCTTTATGCCCATAACAACCTGTTGTAAACGTACTTAATTATAAAAGAAGGCATTTTGCCCCCTTTAACCCTTTCGCGATAAAGGGAAGCAGAATGCCCCCTTTTCCTGCTTTTCAACTAAGTACGACAATGTATCCATGCTTAACCCTTTCGCGATAAAGGGAAGCAGAATGCCCCCTTTTCCTGCTTTTCAACTAAGTACGACAATGTATCCATGCTAAAGGAGGCAAAATGTTTTCTTTTATAATTAAGTACGTTTACAACAGGTTGTTATGGGCATAAAAAAACAAGCAAATCACACTTGGAGAATTTGAAGGTGGTCCATCTCTCGCCTTAAAGGAGGCAAAATGCCTTCTTTTGATACCGACTATCCTAGATTTGTATACTATAGTTTACTAAAGTGGCTCGCGAAAGGGTTAACTCAATTGTGCGTCTGGAAAGAAGGGATCCCAGTTGAAGAACAAGCTCATGAGCTTTTGATTTGCCAGGGTGGAGGTTTTAGAGGATCACAAGTTTATTGGTCTGTTGAAGAAAAATAATCATATCCTGTTGTACGAGCGTGCATCTCATATTTTGGAGCGAGAAGGTAGATTCAAGGTTTTCTATGATCATTCTAAAATTGATCCAGATATTTTCTCCGTCAGAAGACGTGAAGAAACACACGCGAGGGAAGTTGCTGCGCTGGGCTCTGCGTATTTCATGACTTCGATACACGATAGTCCACATAGAAGGTTAGCACAACCTGTGGGTTGATATAGTATCTAGATCTCTGATAATGGATCCCATTTCCGCAATACCATGATGAATGAACTTAAGAGTAGACTCGGTGCCCTTTGTGCCAGTATATACACCGTGGTTGAACGGCACAGCCGAGAGGATAAACCGATATATATTACAAGTAATGGGATTAATGCTGTTGGAATTCCAGGTAAACCTCAAAACAATTGGGAGTATCTTTTGTCTGTCGTGAAATCTAATCTCAATCAGACACCGGTGCGATCGTTAATGGGAAAGTCGCCGATGGAAGTGTTCACTGGACTAGATCGTGAAACAGTACTCAGTGTGATCTTGAAGCCGACCACGCGAACAACACAACACAAAATAGTACAAGGCAGAGCAGTACAATATGGAGCACAGTTAAATGCTCTTACATCGATTTTAACCCCTCTAGCCCCGCTTCCTGTATTCTACATGGTAAGCACTTTCCTTATCCTGTATAATACAGGATAAGAAATCAGGAGATTTTGGCCCATAGTGAAACCAAGTGTCTTCATACAAAGTTCAAGTCGTGTGCACCAATAGGCAGATGGGCAACTTTGTTGCTACCCTCGTGGGGTATAATTCGTGGCTGAGAGTCTCTCGAGATTTAGAGATTTCGAATTGGGGAAGCTTGGGTGGCGGTTTGAAACCCTGAAGGGCCTATCAACTGAGAATCGCTTCTTCATACCTGCAGGATGGGAAAAACGACCGAATGGCACACACATGGTTGACTATTTTGATGGCGCAGACGAAGTCTGGCAGCATGTGCCAGTTGAAGGTACGCGTTCGCTTCAAATACGCATTCTATTCATCTACTAATACTACCACAGTTCTGTACGACGAAGCCCCTCCTGCCAAACGCCCAACACCTGAACCGACGCGGGCCGAGACGCCCACGCCATCACCCGCAAACTCGCCCACCGCGAATCCACCAGCCAAAGCGCCAACCAAATCACTCGCGGAGATGCCACCTGCTAAAGCGTACTCGAAGGCTCCGACCAAGTCTCCCTCCGAGTCCTCCCCAATAGCTCCGCCCAAGCCCATGTCCAAGTCTCCCGCAAACCCGCCCACCAAACTACCCGCCAAAGCCCCTACCAAATCACCAGCAAAGACCACACCTAAGATGCGCGCGCGAAAAGTACCCCCGTCGACACCGGTCTCACCTTCAACGATGAGTCCTACACGTGAACCACCGACTCGGTTGGGGCGTGGGCATCCTGAAAGCGTCGACATCTCGGTGGGTAATGATCAAATGGACTCTGGGGACGAAGATGATGACTATTGCGTCGACGACGATGATGGGGAATAGGAAGTTGAAGGCACAAGTGGGAGCTCTGCGAGCGAGGACAAATCGACAAGCGATGAAGAGGACGCAGTAGATCTTTCTGCTGGATCCCCATTTGACAAGATGACCAAGGAGCAGTTACGCGAGAGTGCCTAGGCTGGCTGAACGACATACTGCGAGGCCGACAGTGCGTACCGATCTGTACTATACAGGAGATCGCCGATTTGATGTACCTCTTACCCAGTATTCGACACTAATCATACTTGTTTGTGTTGTGCTATAGATTTTTTTCTGCAATTACCCGCTGCCGAGCTCGCACACGCAACTGCTGCACCCACGGAGCTAGCACAAGCACTGAGGAACAGTTTGGAGGGGCTATAATTCTTGTTCTTGCCAAAGTCCATGTGGCTATCGATTGCCACTGAGTCAAACCGATATCAGCTACAGTATCGAACTCTCGCGGCGGACGGGATTATGGCTCATCAACGCCGGATCCAAGAGAGGGTACAATATGAAGACATTGCAGCAGGTGCAGAAGGAGCAACTGTCCTTCAAGCCCATCCAGGCGCATGAGCTCGTCACTTTCATCGGCCTTCTGTGTGCTCGGACGTTGTGCCCTTTTCGAGAGAAGATTTCGAAGCGCTGGGCTGTAGATGCACAAGGCGCAGTTTCCAAAGGGACGTTTGGACGATACATGTCGAGGAGGCGCTTCGAGGAAATTGTGAGGTTCCAGCACTTCAGTGACAATCATGGCCCCGACGCGCATAAGTACAAAACCTGGAAGATCAAGCCCATCGCCGACACGATCAACAGCACCTTCAAGTTAGGTATGACGGTCGGCCAGCGGATCGCGTTTGATGAAGGGATGATTCCCATGAGAAGTAAGTACAACCCCATGCGCCAGTACCTGCGTGGAAAACCACACCCTTGGGGAACCAAGTGCTTCCTGACGTGTGATGCTGACGGCGGCTACTGCTACAGGTATGGTACGCTATTATTCCTGTTTTCTACATGATATCAACATACAGTGTTGACGTGTTATCATGTACAGGGCGGAAATTTACCAAGGTCGACTGAACAGTGATAGGGCTGACCTGAATCAAGGCCCAAACGCTGTACTACGCAACATTGAAGAAGTCCTCGATGGGCACCCGAAGCGACGACTTATTATTACGGACATATTCTACCCCAGCGTACTGCTCTCCTCCATCCTCCTGCAACGTGGCCTGTATCATGTCGGTACAATCCAGACCAACAGACGTGGTTACTGCAAGTCGATCCCTTAGAAGCAAGCGAAGCGGCCGAAGTCCATGGTGTGAGGGTCGTACCGAATCGCTCGGTCCAAGGCAGAACCCAGCATAATAGCCGTGTCCTAGATGGACAACCGGCCGGTGCACTTCATCGCAACCGGCTACAGTACGCAACCAGCAACACTGTCGAGACGGGCAGATGCCGATATTGTCGAAGCTCCAACGCCACAGCTTGTGAAAGACTACCAAGACGGCATGGGCGGTGCGGACGGCCAAGGGCAGATCCCCAGATGACAGGGCAGAAGTTAATGGTTCGATAGGTTGGACCTTTTCGAGTGATTGAGGAACTCCCGACAAGTTTCATGATTGAGCACATACTCACAGGCGAAAGTACGGTGTCCATGCAATTCATCTAACACACTACGCTGACATCATGCTTGACGTTACTGAGGAGTTGACACATCTTGTAGCACTTTAAGATATCAATTTGGGTGTTCGGGCAGTGGTTATTTTACATGTCTTTTTACTTTATTTCTGTGGAAACGCTTGTAAAAATGAAAAATGAATTACAACGCGGAATTATGTACGATATATCAGTGACTGTTCGACAGTGCATATTACGGCGCGTACGCGATGACCTGCCATCAAGCTCGTCAATCGGTG